GAGAGATATTGCAGACACCTTTTAAAGGTAGCCTTCAGGGGCCATTAAAGGAGGATGAAAAGAACAGCAAAGACATCCTTCAGAAGAGCAACAATTCCACATTTTCATGTTCACATCTAATTAAAAGTTTTCTTTGAATTCTTATATGTTGAAGTACTTTTTCCACTTTTACTGATAGTGGAAGGTTGAGCAGTGGTCAATTACTAATGTTTTTTAATGGGCTTTTGTGGAGCCTTGTAAGACTTGAATTGTAATGAAGGACAACAGAAGGTTAACTAAATCAGAGTTACGGAGCAAGAGGACACCGGTTTTACCTGGAGGAGATAAATTAAAGCGTAGGATTTGTCTGTATTTGTGAAGACCTTGAACAGAAGAAATACTCAAAAGCTTCACTTAAAAGCTATTCAGGTGAACATATCCTGTAAGTACAAAAGGAAACTTGACCTCTACACTCAGCTTGCCAGCATGCCCCCCTCCTCCTCCTGACTCCGCCAAAGCCTCATGCTGGGACTTGAAGTTATGGAAGATTAGCTCTAAGGTAACCTCCAAGTAACAGTACACCCATTGTTAAAATAGAAGTTCATTATTAACCCAATAAACACCTCTCTAAATGTTGACTAAAGCACACATGCCATCTTCTTATCATCACAACAACAATCTAATCTCACTTCAGCAGTCAGGCAAACACACTCGCCCATATTCTTTCACAAAGAAATAATTCCTTTAAAATCTGCTTTATGATTAAAAAGGCCATCAGGCAGAGGGTCTCCCCATAAAGTACACTAACACTGTAGTTCCCTTTCTCCTCAGCCTCTGGCCTTTTACTAACTCCGGGATGCCTTGATTTAGAAAATAAATTTCATGTGTGGACACAAGAGCATGCTGGGAGGCTTATTCACTTTTCCATATGGGCTGCCAACACCCACATTAAACATCCAATCCTGAGCTCCCTCTCCACTACACACCTCTGACCATGTCATGAAGGTCACAGAACTGTAATCATGTTATATTTAATAGTCAGACAGCAAACGTTAGTCATGTCTAGAAATGTGTATGGGGGGGAAGGATACTAATGTTATGTAATGATACTAATTCTGTTGCTCAGAATATTTGTACTTTTTTTACCCTATTACTTGACGAATAGGGTACAAAAAAAAACTTAACTAGCCATCATAAGAGTCCAAAGAAACAGTTTTTGTAGTTTTTGATCAGTGCCGAGTGGTTCTGTGATGGTGTGTCATGGGTGGGTTCACATCTGGCATGATTTCCATCTTTCAAATAAGAATCAGGTAGAATCAGTTTGAGTCTGCTCTTTGCTCTTTCTTTTCTCTTTTTAATGTAGGGAGCTAACTTTTTTTCATTTGTGAACTATCACTATTTTTCAAACCCTTGCAACTGTACTGCTGATCCATCAAGGTATGGAACTTCTGAGGGTGACCTGTGGTACCAGATCCTTTGGGTCTTGTGGGTTAAGCTTCTGGATAGGCCATGTTTAGGGACATCCTGTGGACGTTTTATCGAGCTGATCTGTGGAGTCTGGAGGCTTGCTCCGTACTTGGAATCTTTGACCCTCTTACTTATTCTTAACTGTTGTGTTTTCGTGATTTGCAGTACACTGTTGAGGAGGAAGCTGCTGTCAGAGTGCATTTACATGGGTTTTACATGACAAAATAACAATGCTGAAACCCAAGGCCTGGCTGTAGTTTGACTATTCTGGATGTTAAGTGATTAACAGTAAGTAAGTAACATATTTTCTCAGTGTGGAGTATACGCCATGTTTAGTGTTCATAAGGTCATACTAATGAAACCTAATCCAGAGGTTTAGCAGGTTTCCAAAACAGTCCTGTCCTGTTAGAAAACCCAGTTGTGTCCAAGTTTCTATCATCCAGCTGTTGATGTGAAGTAAAGTTAAATAATTTGAAGGTAGTCCTCCTTCATTATTCCATCCACTGTGCAAAACAGGCTCAGAGCATGATGCTACCACCACCGTGCCTGACAGTTGGTACGGACGATCTGATATCCTCGTGTTCGTGTTGTTCCCTTGTCATCATAAATAATGTTGTTCCAGGTTCAACATTGCAAGTGACCGTCTGCTGACGTCATCCGCGACCTCGAAAAAAACAAACGCCTTCAAAAAAATCTACTTCACTTGCGAGAAGAGAAACCGCCTCTGTAAGGACAATATGTATAATGCTTACCGTTTATTAAAGGAAAGTATCCTGAAATGCAAAGAATTCAAGTTCCTGGATCGGCGGACAGAAGCGGTTTCTCTTCTCGCAAGTGAAGTAGATTTTTTTAAGGCGGTATTTTTCAAAGGCACAAAAGGGGGACGTCACAACAATGTGATTGGTCACTTGCAATGTTGAACCTGGAACAACATTTATTATGATGATGTGGGAACAACACCGACACGAGGATATCAGATCATCCCAGTTGGAACAGTGTTCTCAGGTTTGACAGCCTCACCTTAACTCCATTCAAATATACTGTACCTCTTGTTAATGTGACCAAAAAAAAGCTCTAATAGGCATTTTTGTTTTTTATGTGTATAGCTGCAAATTTCAATTGAGCTTGAAGTTGTTTATTTTGGAGCAAGGGTTTCTTTTGCTGGTTAGCACCCTTAGCCCATGTCCATCTAAAACTTACTTCTCCGTGGACAGTGATGGTGTTGTTTCAGCACTTTTCAGTTCATGGCAAGCCGGAGCCGTGGTGATTCCTGGATTGTTTCTGGATCTCCTAACCAATTTCCTCTCACCTTAGACTGACGGTTTAGGTCTTCATGCAGATTTTGGAAAAGTGATGACACATAAAAACAACTTGTACTTATGAACCTCAAGAGACTTTCCTAATTTGTGTCAGTTTGAAAATTGTGGAGTTAGCTGGACTTCCCCATTGTTTTGAGTATTGGAATGATGTCAAACAAATACGTTTTATGCTCGCAAAGATAAACTGAATAAGCCTTTGAAACCTAGCCCTAGAACCAATTCAATTATTAATTGATTTAAATGAATCTATATATTTGAGTCTTTATGAATACTGGCCCTGTGTGCATTAGAGACAAATATAAAATGAATTCAAATTTGTTCACCTAATTCTTGTTTTTCTTAAAAGACATTAAAGATGTATGCTGTACAATCATTCCACCCAGAAAAAAAGTTCAAATAAATTACCATGACATTCATGCTCATGAAGAGTGAATCTAAACTTCTGACCACAACAACAATCTCCTCAGGCAAAGACATAAATGCTAGCCAAAGAGTAACTTAGTTAAAAACAAACAACAACACACATTTTAAGATTTCTGCCCACATGGTCAGAAAGGTCACTGCTTTCGGAGAAACAAACAGTGTGGACATTGTCAACTGCAGACTGTTTAGGTTAAATCTACAGACAAGACAACATTAAAAACAATCAAAATGGGACGGAGACTAAATAGAGAAAAATGCTAACTTCGTTTCTGATGGAAGGGCATGATATAACAAACTTAGGATATTAAAAAAAAAGCTAAAATGGAAATTCTAATCATAAGAAAATTCTGGACATATCAGTAAAGTAAGTTAAAGGAACACAGATGACTAATATCACACGTATTACTTTATAGCAATGATACGTTTTCGCTGGTTAGCCGTGCTTGCACCTGGTCAAAAAACTGTCCCACACATCTCCTCATAAAACAACACAGATGTACAGATTTGACATGTTAACTGGTGAGCATTGGAGGAGCTGAAACATGTTTTATTTTTCTTTCCTTTGGAACAAAGCAAGCTAGCTGCTGACCAGTTTATATGCTATACTAAGCTAACTAGCTGCTGATGGTAGTTTCATTTTTTTGGTGCGGGTAACAATATTATTATCAGACTCTCAGCAAGAAAGTTAAAAACAGTATTTCCAAATACTTGTGAGCTTTTTAAAGTTTTTTTTTAAAGTTTATGCATAGTCCCATGTAAATCTAATGCAAATAAATAATGGATGCAAAAGACCTTTTCATCTGCTAGCAAAATGTCATTAAAATGACAATAACAAGTTGTGACTGAAAAGTTGTACTCATGAGACATTTAACAAACTGAAACTCGACTCAGAACATTTCAGTTCTGCTCCTATGGCCACAAGTGGTTTGATAAATCCGGTTTATACTAGCTACTGTAAGCCACCTAGAACTTAATTACTGATCTTCAGTTTACAACTCTGCCTGTGCTTTAGCATTTTAGCATCTCACCACGGAGGGCGCTGTTACAACCACATATTTGATAACCTGCTAAGATGCTCTGTCACAGCCAACTTGCACGACAGGATCATAGATTACAAACTACAGACTTAATTTTTTCACTTCTATTCAAACCTAAAACTGGGGTCGTGTAAGCTTTTTGCCATTTAAGCTAAATACACATAGGGTACTCATCACATGCAGAATGTGAAGTTATTCATACAGATCACTAACTGAGCAGGAGTGAACCAGACCTGACGTGGACATAAATACTTGTGACATCCTAAGATAATAATACACTTTTTTCTCTTTCAAAGTTCGACTCGATCAGAAATGCCTATAGCTGGAAAGGCGCAGGAACTGGAGAGTGATTCCTCAGCACTGCAGCCTAATCATATGATGCTGCTGATAGAGACCGGATATTGACCGGATGAAGCCAGTCTTAATGCTCACGGCCTACTAAACCGGATGCTTCAAAACAGCCCAAAAATCAGTGCAAATATATTTTAGGACTGTGCACCTCAGCTCTTCCACCTGCGACAACTGACAGCAAAGCGGCAGATGGGTTTCCCTTCTCTCCTCTCTTCAAAGGCTCCTGAACGCATCATAAAATGCGGTCACCCATCCGACTGGGACACTTGCAGCGCCGCAAGCCGCTGTCTTGACAGGCTACAGCGCTCATTCACCGCAGCGCACACGCATCCCTGCATCGCTCGGTTAATCCTCGGGCTCACCGGCAACGTCGGCGCGTCCTTCACTGCAGTCAATGACAACCGGGCACTCGATGTTACTTTACCTTCTGAAGGAGGCTGTGCGTGCGTGTCCTCCGCGGGCTGCCGGCTGCGATGACCTTGGAGCATAAAGATGCGTGCGGCTGTGTTGTGGACAGATCGCTATTTGAATTTCCTGAGTGAGCCGCTGCCTGACGTTGAGCTGTTGCGCACCACAGAGGGCGGCGCTGCCTGCCCCGTCTCCGTTTTAGATCGTGATCCGAGCAGCCCAGCTTTTTTGTTTTTTGTCACCATCCCTAGACCCTGATTTGGAGTGGCGTGGAAACACCACAGCGGAGAAAAAGACAATAGATTTTGGCGTTTTAAGCGTTTAAACAAAGTACACGTCTTTAATATAATAATTTAATAGTTATATAATATTTTAATAATTAATGATAATTAATAATTAGTTATAATTTAATTTAATTATATTAAATTCATATGGATTGCTTCTGAAAATGTCTGTCTGGTCTACTGCTGCACTTTAATCTCTGTCAGATGAGCTTGGCTTGTTCTTATGAATTTAGCTTTAATTATATTTCCTCTTTGTAATGTAAGGAAAAAATGAGGATGTTATACATTTTTGTGTGTTTATTACAAACACACACACAGACACACACAAAGAAGGATAAGAGTAGTGCTGTGGGTTACTGCAAATATTGGCATGATCTATGCCAAGTACTGAAGTAAGTATTGCCAGTACCAATACTGATAACCATCATAAGCAGCTTGTGTTGGGGAGATCAGAGTGGCAGGACTTATTACATGAGTTGTCATCAGTTTCTGAACACATTTTATTGACCGCTAAATCCACAATAGACAACACAACAAAGCATAAAACACTCCATCCAGTTATTCATGTATTCTAAAACAGGGTTTTGTTTCTTTGAAGCTCTGGAATGTAAATGTACATGTCTCTAAAACACTTTGGGTGAACCTCTGTTGTTCAAACTGCTACAGGCTACAAATAAAATAGACATGACATCACAAAAAGATGCAGGCGGCATTTTTCAGAATGAATGCGTGAGGTATATTTTTTAATTCCCCCTAAAATAATTTACTTAACACAATTCAGTGGGACAGAAACAAAGTATTGATCCTATCGTGCTTGGATCAATTCAACACCAATACCATCAGTATTGCTACTATCGATATTTGGATTGTTCTACCACCGGTAACAGAAATGTTAAATCATTTTATATAATTATTACTTAAACACTTATACATTTACATTTGCAAGTCACACCTCTTTTATAACTGGTAGTGCTGAAAAGAGTTTTGCTAAGGATAACACCAGTGCGCCCTCTTTCCTTCAGACGCATTTTAGGAATTGGGACTTTGACTTCTTAAGACTTACAGATTGTGTCAGTCTAAAGGTCACTTTGATGGAGGAGACATGGAATGAGGAAGAGAAGAGCTCTACATCCTAAAAATAAATTTTTAAAAAAGAAAGCTCATGCATGTCCATTTGAATGAAGGTGCAAATGAAAGTGACAACAGGTGAACTGTAGAGCCAATAACAGAAGTTACAGCATACAGTGGTTTTTAGGTTTGGTTGGCTTTTTTTAAAAATTGCAGTGATGAAAGGGACCTGACAGAAAGTTTGGGAACAGATCATTTAAAAAAAGACACAAATGAGCACAGTTCATTATCTTACCATTTACCACTGTATGGTTTAACATTTAAAACTACCTGATGTTACCTGATACAACTTAAGCTGACTGTAAGCAAGCATTCGAAAATGATGATATAGCACAGTAAGTACTAACCTATGATGCACATACTGGTATTCAGAAATAGTGATGATTGAAAAGTTAATTTGTTAGATTTGTATAGTTTTACTAACATCTAGAACAAATAGATTCCAATTGACTCTATGGCTGATCTTCTTTGAGAACTGTCAACTGACTAAGTTTCTGGCCCTTTGAAGGATTGTAAAGAAAAGCAGTCTGTGGTGGCCGTGATAAGGGAGGTGGCAGTCATGTGCCCAACAGTCTTGCAGGCACTGCCAAGTCCTCACCCTCTGCTCAGTGCAGTGCACACACAGATAATTAAACATATGTACAAACCTTTGAATTTCAAATTAGCAGACAAATAAAATACATCACAGATGTGTGTTTAAATGTTGTGTTCCTGCAGGTAGTTTGAAACTGGAAGATGTTTGATCAGATGTACCATTATTGTCCTACTGTCACCAGTAGGACAATAATTACTTCTCTGCTCTTTGGTGTGAGGAGGAGCCAAGGTTATTACAGTTAACTACAACTAAACTAAAAACTAAAATTATATATATATTTTTAAATTGTTAACTAAAATACAAATAAAATTTTGAATTTTGGACTGAAATGATTTAATTAATTTGGTATAAATAAATACATAAATAAAACATGTATTAAAACTTGCCTGATGAGGCTTTGACAGATATATTTATTGAGACTTTGGACGTCTGCAACACTTTGAGTCAACTGCGTTCAAAAGGTTGTGTGTTTTTATTGTAATACCTGTACTATTTTGCCTCTGATATATTCCCTGCATACAAAAATAATCATTAAAGCCTAAAACTAAGACTCAAACTAATAGACGCTAAACTAAAGCTTAACATTTTCAAACTGTAATAACTGTGGGAGGAACAGGGGGAGCACTGCCAGAGACCTACAATATGGCCTCCAGCAGGCTACTCAGGTGCCTGATTCAAATAAACTGTCAGATACAGAATCCATGAGGGTGGCATTTAGTGCTCACAGGTCGGTGCCACCGTAAAGTACTCGACGGTGCTGGGATGGAATCCATCATCGAGAGTTTATGCTGATGCAGTGGGCCCTGGATTCCCGACAAAGGGCAATGCCTGGCCTCGTGTGACCGGAGTTTCTTGCTCTTATCTGGGGGCCAGATTGCAGGGGTAGTTGAGATGGTTCCTCCTTTCAATGTGGACCAATAACGGCTCTACTCTAAAACCCTCCCAAATGACTGAACTCTTTGCTCTCTCTCTAAGGGAAAGGCCTCAGTGTGTCAACCCTGCCAAATATTCTGGGAGATTCCCCAGGACACCGTCCACTGTCTCATCAGAAACATGCTCAGGGGCTGTCAGGCATACATGAACACAACTGAACAGGCTTGGTCTGTGATTTCAGATTTGAACTTTTGTTAAAACATTTTGCTCTGTATCAGTAAAATTTTTTAACTTTAACATTGCTTTCACCAGGCTCCTAGAAGCTGTTTTAGTGTTCCCTTCATTTTTCTGTGCAGCCTGTAAGAGAGACTATCTTACAAAATACAGATAGAAGCTAAAATTGCAACAAAATCCCAAAACGTTACAAAAGTATGCTCACTGCAGAAAATGTGCATGCAAAGGTCTTGAAATCAGCAACACTAGTGGATCAAATTGAAGAGGCAATAGAAAAACAGCTCCAGAGTCAATGGGCATTAAAAATGGCAGTGTCTGAAGAAGCTGATATCTGTCACTACTGAGGGGAGTGGAAGTGTTGGTACTGATGAAAAGCCTCAAAAATATACCCAAAATCTGAGGAAGGAATCCAAAAATGTAAGTTTATGAATAATCTGTAAAAGTATATATAAAATAATATACAGTTTTTCGTGATAAATGTTGGAATTCCATTATTCTAAAAAGAAGAACGTAAGACATGACTAAATAACTCAAGTTGAAATTTGAAATTAGTGGAGGGTTGATTTACTGCATACAGGGACCTTTGTTTTTTCTGTGATGTGAGGGTTTTAGTCTTTCTCTAAAATGTTCTTGTGTGTACAAAACGGCCGACATCAAACACACCCGATCTGGGTCATTTGACCTCAATCCACAGGATTAATCTGAAAGGAGCACAGTGACGCTTCTACATATGGTAGCGCTGACTTGGCACATGTAAAGATGACATTTAACAGCAAAGGCTCAATGAAACTTTAAAGATGCAATGAATAATGAAAAACAAATGAAAAACATTCCTTTTTCAATTTTTGCAGGTTTTGCATGTTCTTCTTCTAAATGTTTCGAGAGATTATCTCAAGTGATTTCATCAGTCGTCTCTTCAAGCTGCAATGAGACATTGCCAATTTCATGCCTTCATCTATAATCAAATGATCAAAAACCAAACCTGCCAAACAGCAACATGTTACCTTTATGCAACCAGTCACATCATAATTAGTTTTGTTCAAAGTACAGATATGGCTCTATTCTGTGAACTTAACAGAATTTTTCTGTTCTGCTTTTCTTTGGGCATTTTCTCTTTACATTTATTACTTTCAATTTTGGGGTCATTTTAATTCATCTCTGTGCATTTTTTCCACAATGTGTCATTTTTACTTGGCAAATTAAATGAATCTAAAGTGCAGTTCAGGTGATCCTGGCATTTAGTTTGCTCGAGAGGGTGCTCATTATATTTTCAAAGTCCATAAGCAGCCAGAGGTCATTGGATGGGGCACTGAGAGAGAATACCTAAAAATGAGCCAAGTGCATCATTCAGTGCATTTGGTCAAATGATGGGTTATCCATTCCAGAAAATATATCAAGAGCCCCGTTACCTCTAACACTAAATTCACCCATCCATCCGTCTATTCATCCATCCATTCATCTACTTCTTCTCAGGTCATTTAAATGCAAGAGGATATAAAACACAAACCTCTGTTGTTCCTTTTCCACATGGGATTTTACATAGAATGAACACATTTAAATATGTGATCCAAAAATGGAATTGTTGATTTATAACTTACACAAGTTAATAGTTGGATGAATATCTTATTTTTCTGTGCATGAAATTAAAATTCGTAATAAGTGTGTAAAAACACGTGAAAACAAACGAAAGCACAATTTTTAGATCAAATCGGAACAAAAACGGGGGAAAGGATCGATTAAAAACGGCGTGTGTATAACTTCAGTTTATGTCATTAATTCATCTAGCTTTTCACATTCTCTGTAGTTTTAAACCACAGACTGTATCTAAAAGATGGACATGCCTGCTGGATGAGCTAATAACGTTACAGATAAAAAAACAAAAAAACAATGTCATTGTCAACTCGTCAACCACTAGTGCCTTGCTCATTTCTGTCAGTGGTACGAGTCTTAAAGTCTGAGGTGTGCAAGGTGAACAGGAATGGAGACACCACAGTTCCCCGTGTAGCTCCTGAACTACACATCACCAAATCAAACAGCCCAATCTCACACAGTGCAGCCTGTCTGTCTGGTAGTCAGTGATCCATGAGATGGTTCATCCATGTGTTTCCTGATGTTTCCTGCTGCTTCT